GATGGATGGATGGATGGATGGATGGATGGATGGATGGATGGATGGATTCGAGGCATCCAGTAGCATGTTCTAATTACACAGAAAAGAATATGAAATAATAAAAAAAGAAGCCAAATACACAAATTTGGAAAAAGACAATATGCATTTATTGGTGGGTCCTAAACATCTGCAGCAGTTTAAAATTACACTATAGACATATGTTTACCGCAACGTTACAAGTAAATATATTTTTTTAATAGAAAGCAAAGAGTAAATATAATGTTACGTTTATTTTTTTTTCCCTACAGAATCCACCTCAAGGAGGATTGTCCTGCTGGGAAAGACTGGATCTGGGAAAAGCCACCTGGCTAACACCATATTAGGAGAGGAACTTTTCACCTTTTATCGTTCCTCTACCTCCGGAACCCAAACAGTTCAAGCAGAGACCAAGTGTGTGAGCGGAAGAAGCCTCACTTTGATCGACACTCCTGGTTTCTTTGACACAGAAAAGTCTGAGGAGGTTCTGAAGCCGGAGATCATGAATTGCATCACAGAGTGCTCACCTGGGCCTCACGCCTTTCTCATTGTCCTAAAAGTGGAAAAGTTTACAATGCATGAGCAGGGTGTGATCGATAAAATATGTGAGTATTTCTCAGACGATGCTTTGAATTATGCTGTTCTCGTCTTTACTCATGGTGACAACCTTGGAGGGATGACTATCGAAGAGTTTGTTGGTAAGAATGAGAAACTGAGAGATCTGATGCAGAGGTGCGGCGGTCGGTGCCATGTCTTTGATAATAAACACTGGAACAACAATCAGATCAGTGGTTACAGAAACAACCAGTTTCAGCTGAAGTTGCTGCTTCACACTATAGACAAGATGGGGATGGAAACAAACAGATCCTATTACACCAATGAAGTTCTGCAGCATGTAGAAGAAAGGATCCTGAGGTATGAGGAGCAAATACGGGAGACGTCCGTCAACCTGTCCCCAGGGGAGGTAAAAAAAAAGGCCAAAGCCACTGTGTCAAATGAGCTTTTGGTACGCCTGGCGGGTACCGGGACAGGTGTTTTGTTAGGGGCTTTCTTTGGTGTGATGTCATTGATTGACATTGTTATGAAATTTGTGAAGAGCCCTTCGGAACTAAAGAAGCTTTGTAAAAACGTCTCAAATTTTGCACCTACAGCATTTGCAGCAGGAGGTGAGGTGACCTCCGTAGTCACTGCAGTGGCATTGGGTGTAACCGTGGTAGCTGCTGCTGTAACAGGAGGAGTCATAGGTGGCGCTACTGGGTCTGACGCAGCTAATGATGCAACAACACCATTGGAGGCAGGAAAGAGGGCTTTTGAGGCTGTCAAAGAGCAGCGTAAGACCATGACACAAAAAAAACTTCTTTAAAAGACAAATTTTTATTTTTTTTCTTAAGATGAGCACATCTGCCACAAACAGCTGATTGGCATCTTCTGATTTTTCATGGGTGTTTTGAGAGCTTACAATGAGGTCCAACTCATTTACACAAGGGCCCAAAATTAAAAACCTAATTGAGGACCTGTCACGATAACAATAAATAAATTAATCACATGATAAATGAAAATTATTGGCTTTATCATTTCTTAGTATCTCTCTTTTTCTACTGAAGACACGGCTCAACTCCAGCGCTCGTCATTGACCCCTCCATTTCGCTTTCCTCTTTAAAATCAGTTTTAACCGTCCAAAATCGCGTTTTTCGATGGTTAAAAGCAGCTAAGCCGAGAAGCTAAGCTACGAGCCAAGCTAACAGGCCGACCTCGGGGAAAAAACCTTCTTCTCGAAGCTCCAAAATTCACGGTTGAAACCTGTGCCTTCATGTAAAAAGTTGTTTTTCTCTGCAACAAGAAGCTGAGAACTTGTTTACGGAGTTTTTATTAAAAGCTTTGTTTGACAAATGCTATGCTAAAGAGCTCAAACCACACCAAGCATCCGCCATTTTGAGAACCGAAGAGAGACAGCCCATGTCACATCAAGGGGTCTCCCTCCCATTTTTCTTAGAGACACGCTGCTCGCTCCCTCACTATCCATCCTTCGATTCAGTCTTATACTGCCATCCGGTGGTCGAAAAAAGGTACTACACTCAAAACAAATGAAATGTTTCTTCTTAAATTTGACAATAATTATTGTCAAATTTCAAACAATATTATCGTTTATCACAATAATTTCTGAGATAATTAATTGCACAGCAAAATTTGTTATCGTGACAGGCCTTTCAAGGACAAACGTACTTTCCCAAGATTCTGGAAAAAATTACATTAGCCAAGTTTTTCCAAATAAACTTGTGTCAGAATAATCATGTACAAATACGAGTATTTCTTTAATGTGCCTTTTATGTCTGTCTGAATTAGTGTTGTAAATGGGTGGGAAATTTCTGGAAACTTCAAAAGTCATTGTTTTTACATTATTCGATATCTGTTCTGGCTTTTGTCATTTCATTGACATAAAGCCAAATGTCATTAAATTGCATTTGACAAAACTTTACAGTTTATTTGCTCTACATGTTTAGGTGACAATTCTTAATATTGTTTTTAATTTCTGTTAAATTCCCTGTAAGTCAAAATTTCCAACGTTGAAAATTCCACTTTACTGGGATGTTTTTAATAAAATGTGAGGAAAGCTGTCATGACATCACAGCCCGAGTGATGTAACCATATGATGTTGGAGCACGACATGTCTGTTTAAACTGCTGCCGCACAGTTTAAGGTAGAGTTGTTTCTAGGTGTGAGTGACAGAGTTGTCTTGTTTGTCTCTGTGTCCCTGTGATGGACGAGACCTGTCCGGGGTGTCGCCTGCCTCTCACACAGTGATTGCTGGATATGGGCACCAGTGACCCCCATGACCCAAAAAATAAACAGGTAAAGATGATGGATGGAACATCTTCAGTAGTTTAACCAATATCACAACACATTTTAATTTTTTTAGGTTTGCATGATAGTTTTCAACTTAACAGGAAATTTCATGACATGACGATTGTTTTTCTCCTGAATCTCAATGTTTAATTTATTTAATCTATCTGCCTATTTGTACACTTGTCCATTCAGCCAGTCATGAAGAAGAATAGCAGTGCTTCTAACCAAATACCTATAGAACTCCTTAAAGATCCAACAGAGCACACGAGACAGATGCGCACAATTCTGATCCGTAACCTTGAAAGAATTACATCTGTGCTTCTTTGTGGAATTCCTGCCACAAAGAATCTGGGCTGTATTTTATCGCAAAGAAAAACGCAAGACCAATACTTGTCAAACGAGTTTAAATCTTTCCATTATGAAATGTTTGTTCTTAAACTGTATTTACAAGCTTTAACCAGCAATGGGATCCCTACAATACACAATGTAAAATAGTTTTTTTGGGGGGTTTTTTGTATTCTGTGTTTCTAAAGGTCTGTAATATTGTAACTTTAGTGCAATAACATTTATACTCATAATAAGAATATTAATAGGATACACCCGTCCTTAAATCCTACACTGGCACTTATTTGTGTTCTTTGTTTTCTTTTTACCTTTTTATTGTCTGGTTTGTTCTGCTTTTGTGATGCGTTCTGTTTGTGGTTATAGAAATGAAAGGTAGAACTTTGAACATTTGCAGACTTGCTCATGGACTCATGTACTTTATGTTGATCTTCTCCCCTGATTATCCTTTACTCATCTCTGCGATCTTATACCTACAAGCTGAATGCAATAAAGGAAATTTAAAAAAAAAAAGGTTTTGTATCTTTTATTTCTTTGCTCGTTTAAGTCACAATTTGATGTAATGTCAGCCGCTATTAATGCTGGACGGTGACTGACTTGCCTGGGCTAATGATCTGAATCCTCTGAATTAAGGACTTCTGAGTCTGGAGTCTCAATGAATCCATACCCTACATGTCCTCTGGCAGACTGCTGTTAGGTCTGTGAGGTGCAGGACTTGTTGGAAAAAAAAAAAAAAACTGCTGAATTCTCATAAATGCTGCTGATTCGGATAAGTTTGGTTTCCGATTCAGATTTTATTTTATTTTTTTACTCAAACGAGTCGTGACAAGTGGAGGTTTCTGATATGGGCGGCACGAGCACTTAATTCCGCCTTCCCCCTCAACCACACACGCACACACAAACATGCACAAAATTACAGTATGCCATTGTTTATTGGTGGTTTCATTCCCAGCCCCCCTCCCCCATGATAAGTGAAAAACCGCGAAGTAGGAATAGTAGTAGTAGTAGGTAGTATATTTTAGTATATATGTATATATATATATATACACACAAGGCTCTCTTTTCTACTTCCTCCATGTACAGGTTGGCCACAATAGGAGAAATGAGACCCCATAGCACACCCATGTTTCTGCCTATAATATTGCTCCCCATATGTGAAGTAGGTTGACTGCAGGCACAGTTTCAAGAGTTGACACAGTTGACTTTAAGACCAATTGTTAGCATGATTGACTCTGTCACTTACAATGTTTCCAAATATCTGGCGTCTGTACTCATCCCTTTAGTTGGCAGCTCAGAACACCACATACAGAACACCATGGACTTTGTGGATAAGGTGAGGGATGTCATCATGGAGACTGATGAAACAATGGTCTCTTTTGATGTCACATCACTCTTTACGTGCATTCCTGTTGATGATGCAGTAGAGGTGGTCAGTTTAAGATTTTTATCAGACACCACTCTGAGCAGCAGGACCACGCTTTCCACAGAACAACTGTGTCAACTCTTGAAACTGTGCCTGCAGTCAACCTACTTCACATATGGGGAGCAATATTATAGACAGAAACATGGAAAAAATATAAATATATGTATAAAATAGAAATATATATATATTTATAATATACAAAAAAAAGAAAAAAATATATATATAACTGTGAAAGATGACGTGAAACTACTCCTTTTGGCCAAAATTGCGGAGGGAGAGACCAGATGCACACCTGTTGCAGGAACATCGTGTGAAGTGGGACCTCCTGTCATAGATGAACCAGAAGAGCTACAGCTCACTGCTGCTGCCATAGTGTCAATTTATGTATCACTTGTGAATCAAACAGTTCTATATAAACAACAATGTAATGCAAAAATAAATCAGTGAAAAGATATATGTCAGTCGACTGTAGACTGAGACCACCGAGGTGTTCCACAGAACGCCACAGGAAGATAAGATTATTTATAACTTTTACCTGTTTCAAAATGGCCCAGCAATTCCCTTTCACATCACCCTTCATGGTTACTAATCAGCCCAACAGATAAATGCTGGTTTCAGACAACTTTATCAGAATCAGAATCAAAATAAACTTTATTGGCATTGCACCGAGATACATCGCAAATATGGACGTACAGTCGTCCGAAGATGGGCGGAGTGCACGAAGCTGCGGCTATAAATAGCGCAGCCTTCTTATTCTTATTCAGAATAATATTTTGCTTAGATGAGAAAAGGAAAGAAAACATGAGGAGAGACGGGGCACAATTTGAGGCATCAAAAAAACCTACCACAGCAAAGCAAACATAAACAGACGTTATACATGAACATATAGGTGGTGAAAACATTGAATTTTTAAGGGAAAGTCGTAGCATAGTCCAGAGCCCCCCCTCAGCCATTGTCCAGATAAGAGGTGACGTTCATCTTCAGCTCAGTTGAGGTTCTGTCACATGTCCATGGCCTTGGGGAAGGGAGTGGTGAGGAAACAGTCAAAGCATCTTTGTTGTTTTCAAAACATTCCAGGAGGAGTTGAGATAAGTCCGGCGTCAAGGCCACAGTTTGGGTCAGGCAGAACTCGTAATTGTTGTTTCTGCCTTTGAAGTCTCGCTGTACATATTCTCTGATGGAAACTCCAAAACAGCCGAATTGATCCTTTACTCCAAAAGTCGAGCTCACAGCTTCTCCAGATTTTTCCCACCATTCATGAGTGCTGCCAGGGAGATCACAGTCCTGATAACAGCTGCTCCAACTCCCTGTCACAGCTCCACATTCAGTCCGAGCACTGTCAAGCTTCAACACCTCCACACGAATTTGTAGATAACCAGATTCCACCAACCCAAACAGTAGATTCTAGTCGTCATCATGAATCCAATTTGTCCTCTAGAGTTCAGAGGGTCCTCCTTACCCTGACTCCTGTCGGGAGAAGTTGATCGATTTTGTTGAGAGACCAGCTGATCCTTCCAATTAAGAGGTATGCAGGAAAAAAAGAGGCTTTTTAAGGGTTCACAGGACAGAAGAGCGCAGAAGGGAAGCGGGGGGGGGGGGGGGGGGCAGAGAGGGAAAACACGTCTGGTTTCACCGTAAAATAGCAAGAAAAAAATTTAATCATTATCAATTTTTTAATCCAACAAAGGTTTTTCCTCCTCTTCCTCAGATGTCTTGGAGTCGGGCTGCACCAGTTTGTTCCAAGCATCATTAGCTTTATGTAAGTAAGACTGGGCTTCATTTTTCACTGCTTTTAAGGTATTCTGTGCCGCTTCCTTTGGTGTCGTTGCTTCCACAGCTTCATCACTTCCAACTATAGCACCTCTGACTGCTCCTGTTACAGCAAACGCCACTGCAACGGTCATTGGTGCTGCTCCCAGTCCTGCCAGTCCTCCCGCTGTTGCTCCTGCAACTAATCCAGCTGTACTCGTTGCTCCAATGACTACGGCTGAGGCTGCAGCATCCCGTAGCTGTATTGGTTTTTGAGGATCCCACAGGTTTTTGACTGCTCCAGCCATAACTACCACACCAAAAACAGCTCCTAACAATACACCTGTTCCAATCCCTGCAGATCTGATCAAGAGTCTCTTTAAAACTTCGGCTTTAGCCCTCTCTCTGATCTCTGCTTCTGACAGATTTCCTAACTGTCGCTGAATGTTCTCCTCTTCTTTGATTTCTTTCTCCACTGCTTGCAGCATCTCATTAGTGTAGCAGCTTCCATTGTTTGCCGCCACCATTGTGTCTAAGGCCTGAAGTAGAGTCTCCACCTGGAACTGGTTGTTCCTGTAATCATCCCGGTTGTTATTCCAGTATTTGTTGTCGATGATGTGGCAGCGCTGGCCACACCTCTCCACCAGTTCATCCACAAGCCCATTCTGACTAACAAACTCCTGGATGATCATCCCATCAGAGAGCTGGTCACCGTGAGTGAACACTACCACAGCATACTTCAGGATGTCACTAGTGAAGTACGTGCAGATCTTCTCGATGACATCCTGCTCGTGCTGTGTGAATTTTTCCACTTTGAGCACAATGAGAAAAACATGAGGCCCAGGAGCGCACTCTGTGATACACCTCAATATCTCAGGCTTCAGCTCCTCCTCAGGCCTGTCGGTGTCGAAGAAACCGGGAGTGTCTATGACAGTAAGGCTTCTTCCACCCACAGACACCGTCTTGGCTTCACAATTTCTTGTTTCTGAGTTCATCGAGTGGTTGACTGTGAACATCTGCCCTCCAAGGATGGTGTTGGCCAGGCTGCTCTTCCCAGATCCAGTTTTTCCCAGGAGAACCATTCTGAGTGTTTCGGTTCCTGAAAAGAATAATATCCATTAGTACTAATGTACATGCATTTTATCATTTAGATAATTTTGCAACCTCTTCACACAATTAAGAAGTTTTTTATTCATCCGTTATCTTTACCGCTTCTTCCTTTTAGGGTCACGGGGGCCACTGGTGCCCATATCCAGCTATCATTGGGCAGAAGGCGGGGACACGATGGACAGGTCTCCAGTCCGTCACAGGAAATGATTATTATTTTATTTTTAAGCATGATTTTATTTTAAATAAATGCAAACAAATACAGTAGTCCCTCGCTACTTTGCGGTTCGTTTATCGCGGGCTCGCTCTGTTGCGATTTTTCAAAATAAGATTGGACATGACACACAACTGGCTGATTGATGGATGAGCCGCACGATGGGCACACAATTTTTATTTAAAATAAAATATTGAGCATCTGCTGCACCATTATGCAGCCCACACTGCAGGATAAACTTCCTGCAGCAGCTGATCATCTGTTCACGTGCAGCACATAGAAGTGGGCGTGGCCAAGAGCACTTGCAGATGGCTGAGAGCAGCGGAGGCAGGGAGCTGAAATCATGACAGTCTGTGCTCTTTTAGAGCCTTTAGAGTTTAGAAACATTGTTTAGAATATTGCAAGAGTGTGGGGACACCTTTATATACATGTATAAAATAGAATAGAATAGAATAGAATAGAATAGAATAGAATAGAATAGAATAGAATAGAATAGAATAGAAACAGCCTTTATTGTCCCACGGATGGGAAATTCCAGTGTATCAGTAGCAACAGATAAAAAGATTAAAAGATTTAAAGATTACACACAAAAGTTCCTACCTAAATGTTAATAAAAAACACAATATATAAGAAATAAGATAAACAATATCAATAATAATGTTCAGTATGTGTTGGAATATTGAGAATGGCAGACTATTTACAGTACAGTATTACAGGCAGAGTGTGTGTTTTAGCAGAGGTCAGCATGTATTTAATCCTTATTGAGTCTGTTGGGAGCAGTGATGGTTGTAGAGTCTAACAGCTGCTGGGAGGAAGGACCTGCGGTAACGCTCCTTTGTGCATTTAGGATGCAGTAATATGTCACTGAACGAGCTCTCCAGTTCAGCAACAGCTTCATGCATGGGGTGGGAGACATTGTCCAGCAATGATGTTATTTTAGCTAGAGTCCTTCTGTCTCCCACCATCTGCACTGGGTCGAGGGGGCGTCCAAGCACAGAGCTGGCCTTCTTGATGAGCTTATCTAGCTGCTTCTTCTCAGCTGATGATAAGCTGCTGCTCCAACACACAACACCATAGAAGATGGCTGATGCCACTACCGAGTCA